CATATCTTTATATTCTTATTACTATTCTTTTATGGAGCGTACTTGGTCATTTGGGCGCGACAGGGGCGGATTTATTAATGTGATGGAGGTTGCCAGTGGGTGGAATTGTTGGACTGCACGGAATTTTTTAGAGCTGTCATCAAGTCCACGCATTCTGAGGACATGGATTGGTGAAAGCTCGGTTCTAAAAGGGAAGTTAAGCAGTCTGTGCTGAGGTGGCAACTAATCACGAGGTATTCTTGACCCTGACTACATCACGAGTTGTTCCCATGTAATCGTTGATATAGTAGTACGGAAGGACTTCCAGGAAAATAGATTTGAGCTATTCTACCCGATCACAATGGAGCAATATGAAGGCTTCATCCTGGAGCCCCAAATGCTGCCTGAAATTCGCTGCACTACAGATTTCTTATAGACAGATTTCTCACTATAAGTTCAGCATTACAAGTTACACGGAACACACGAAATCTGTGAGTACTTCCCCTTTTTAGAGGAAAAGGACGAGGATTTATGGCAAGTATGCGGTTGTAATTTCCCACATGTGAATTACAGGTTCTACCGTGCGCTGCACTGTCCATACGCACGTGATGGAATCCCAAACCCACTTGGGAAACCGCAATGGCATACGCATGTTGGCATGAAACGTCCCTAAATGGGGGTATATTTCAGTACACATTCCCTCGTAAAAAAAATCGTCAATCTTGTTGTTCTGTATTTCTGGGAACGTAAATATGTCATCATCGGGGCAGGTGTTAGGTACGTCTCACAGTTTTTTGTCCCAAGTCCTTGGGCTTCTGAGTAGATAAGCGATTATTCAAGGTTCTATGGCAATGAATGGGACACCATATGGTACCTCACCGTTTCTTTCTTTTGGATATACTATCGTGTGCTCAAGGTGGACGAAATACAGATATGAAACGGCTTCGGTTGCGAGCGAACCCTTTTCTTCGCTTTGTGCTAAGCCACTATGAAGACCCACCAATTTTATATGAATTATCATTGATCACGCAGATTTCACCCTTAATCTGGGAGCACCTTCGAAATACCTCGCAGGATGATAGTTCGAGGTCAATCAACTTTGATACCCGCGTTTTTTCCTCGTTCAAGTGCGTGAGGGCGATCGGGCGATGAGCGCTACGATGCAGAACCTGACGAATTCGGGAAACAACGGGGGTCCCGTGTCGGAAATGAAAACATTGGGGTAACCAGCTGGAGGCAGCTGGTTACCCAAAGACTTTCAGCTATGACCTTTCCGTGGGCCCTACTAAAAAGGCCCTTGGCCCTTCACCTTCACAAAAGAGTAGAAGTAAACTGTCGAACTTGCTAACTTTTCAACTCCAACCCCCTCCGTCCTCCAAGATTCCAGATCTGCAGCTCGACCAGCGGCCATATGCAAAAATCAGGAACCTACGCATCCCTATTGCTCTTTATCACCAACGTTCTGGTCTTTCTGTAGATGAGAACCAGTTGGGGTTCGACAAAATACGTGGTGACCACAATCAGAGTACTCCGATGATGAGAAGAACAGGTTGGAATCTTTAAAGAGAGAAGGGATCAAACGTCAGCTGATTCTATTATTGTCGACAATCGGTGGCTACCGAACTGGTAAACAGAGACATAGATCAAGGTTTATCTTGGGATTGTTCATTGTCCACAAATACATACATACCCGAGTACTACCTACTTTTTATATATTGCACGTTGACAGCCAACTCGACAGTACTTGCAAGTTGGTAGTTTTGGTCCACATTGGGAGCACTGAGCGCAAAAACCCACTTTTCAAGGTGGACAGGTGGGAGGGAAATTTACAAGGGACGAACAATTCCCGATACATTTCCCGCTTGGGCGTATTTGTCGTTGGCCACTTCAGACATTAGCACAAGTGCTGTGCACTCGTTCAGATGGGCACATAAATAGGATCGCCGTAACAGCACGCAACAGCCAGTAAAGTCTGAGGATTACGGACGTGCCATGCGATCGGGAAAACCCGGACAAGGCCACAGAGGGACAGGAAAGGAGCGAAACTCTGGGTTTGGGATTCAGAAAAGAATGCGATCACAGTTCCAGACCCTTCTTGGTCGTCTCTTTCTAAAAATAACAGTTCTTCGATTGAAGGCACAGTTCACGATAGTTTTGGGCAGTCCAGACGAAAAATGGAAGATAAAATGGAAAATAGTGCAATGAAGGCGAAGAAACTGGGTGAATCGGTGTTTTCTAAGGGGAAAAGGCTTCGAAAAATCGTTGAAAAGGGGGCTGGACGAGAATGAGATCAGAAAATGAAGAATGGGGCGTTTGGAAGAGTTATACATTGTGGGCCATTGCTCAAGTGTGGGTCCTGGTGCGATATTCATTCATTCATTTGTCCACTGTATATTCTTAGGGGAAGAACTTAGGAACCACTTTTACCCTGAACTGTGCCTTTAGTTTACTGTTTTCTTGAACTCTTCACGAGGTCTCCTTCACGCTCTGAAGGAGGCGATTCCGCCGTTATGCCGAGGTTCATTGAAAGCCGTACATGGAACTTAATGTGCCTTCAGTACTCTAGAACGCAGCCATGACCGTAAACTCGGCATAAAATTCTCACCGACGATACCATGATCGTTACGATGCCGTTCGTTCCGTGGCTCATGGCTCCTTCACACTTCCCGACAATCATCGGGTGGTAAGAGAAGCATGTCCCAGTGCGCTAAAGGTGTCAAATCTCAGAGTGAGTCTAACAATATCAGCTGTGGCCCTCCTAAATGGGCCGGTTGCCTTACCCAACCATTTCTGCTCAGAAACACCGCTTTTTGCCGAAATCACTGCGACGAGAGAAATTTAGGTCGACAACGACAGTGCTATGAGCCATCAAGGATTTGAAAGGCGTCACCTCATCGTGTAAAGTGCTCTTGAAACTGAGAACTCAGAAGCCCTGCTAACCGAGGGGATGGTGCTTCAAAGAGGATGTCCCTCCAACATGAACTCTACGTTTGCAATGTTATACTTCAACCGCCGTTAGCGGTTCAGTCGAAGTTTATTTATTTATTTACTTTGCGCTCAAAAGGCTCTACAGTTAAACAGTTGGAGAAATACAGCAAGTAGTAGTTATTTCAAATGAAATTGATGACAAAAAAAACAGGAACAAAAGAAAGGCAATAAACACAACAATGACAACAAAGGTAGGGAAAGCATATTGCAGAAGCGGTTGAGCGGCGAAAAGACGAGAAAATGAGGAAGACGAAATAAGCAATAGGCTAACCCGACAAGAAGAATCAAAGTATGAAGAGTCCCTATCTATAGTTCAAAAAACAAACTTGTTGGCCATTGCGACCATGGATGTTCGCTATGCGCTTGAGAAAGAGAGACCCGTATATACACTGCACACAGGACCTCCCGAAGCAGGTATGAAGTAGAGTTGGTACTAATCTTCCCCACTTTGAATCTGTGTCTGGCCACGGCCACGAGTTTTCCCGCGCAAACTGCCGCGCGCGCCTCCACACGGGAATTCAGTCCCCCACCGTGGACAGACGAACTGACTTAATCAGACCCAATGAGGCAGCCTTTCAGGAGATGCCTGGGAGTCGCGGCACCGCAGAATATGATTGTAAACATAGCTATTGCATCCCACCGTAACTTGCCTCCAGCCGGATACCCGAACCAGCTCATTTCCTTGACGCTTTTATTCGTTTTCATTCTCGCGAAGTTCGTACTTATTCATCTAAATGGAAAAACGTATTTATTGTTTTCCTCTGCAGAGATTACTTCAAAGGTCCGTATAGCAGGCTCAAGGATGATCCTGCAACGAACCGACCGTAATTTTTGGAGTCATCCATGAGAAGGCGTGCGCTTGCTTTTTTCCTCGCCCTTGATTTGTAGGATACGTTGTCCCCGGTGGGCGTTCACTGAATGGAAGTTATGTGGATTCAGAGAAAATCTTAATTTGGTTGGTTGTCGGTGCCAGTAAGTACGGACCTTCACTAGTGCCTTGCTTGCGGACTTGGACGAGTTCCTATGACTTTGTCAATCTTGTGGCAGGCCATCTGTACCGATGAGGTGTTTTTGCTATATTCTCAGTCGTTTGCACCAAGTCAAGCCTCACAGAAATGGACGCGATGTTCCGTCCCCATTTCCAGTTTATCATTTTTTAGGTCACTTGAGAATAATTGCGAGATTTAGTGTAGAAATCCAGAATAGTTGGTGGATCCGAACATGGAAGACAAAAGATCGTCGTTGCTCAAGATCGTGTGCTCGATTGGGTTGGCTTTCAACGAATACTTCACCATTTCGCGACTTTGCGATGAATACCAGTGAGCTTATAGTGTTTCTTCTGAATTTTTTGTTCTAGAAGCCTCTCTAAACTTAGCAGTTTTGGTTTTATCTCATTTTGGTGTGAAGATTGTAGCCGTATAATGTTAAGTTCCATGGTAGTGGAGTGATGGAGTTCCCTTTGCATCTGCTATGGTTGAAAATTATTACCTTTGAGCAGTTCCGTAGTGAATTAGCAGTACGACAGGTCAAAGAATCCTCTAGAAACCTGCAATAAATTCAACTACTGGGATTCCGTTTGCTCAGTGAACAAGGTGTTGACAGTACAGTACGATGCTTCGGACATGGCCCTTTTTTCCGAAGTCTATTTCAACTGAATTCTATAGGAATCTTCTCGGGACCCCGCTCGCTGCCGCAGTCCGTGAAGCCGGCTACCTGTCAGTGGACGAGATGCTGTCAAGTTCTCCAGCTGTTGTGACAGCATATATTCATGCCAAGAAGCACTATAAAGTCGAGTATGTGAACTTCTCATTTTTTTCTTGTGCTTGATTCAGAAAACGATAACCGAAACCAAAATTGGGTTCTAATTGAACTAACAGTTTGAAAAATTGATTTTGGGAGTAAGAAATGAACTCAGATGAAAGTTCTATTCTTGCCGTTAGGACAAATGGTAGATGGAATAATTTTCTTCCTTATTTTGAACAGTCCGCTGCATTAAAACATGTGCAGCTTCGGCAACAGAGACAGAAGTTCGCTATTTTCGCTTCGACAATGAGCCCGTCCGAAGCCCTCTGATCATGAATCATAGTTTTAAGAGGAGATTTTGATTCATCAAGAAAACAGAAGTATTTAAAAATTTGAAGAGTCTGGCTCCCTGACACATCGCTTTTACATTCGAAAGTCGTCCCCTTTCCCAGTGAGCTGCCGGGCACAGTTATTTCTGTCCGCCCACATTATGTTCGTCTGGACCCGACCTCTGGTACTGATTGTACGCAACTGTTCTAACCGACCTACCCGAGATATGTATTTGTAGGAGACAATTACTTCTGGCACTGTTGTAAACTTGAAACTGAATCTTCTGATTAACATTGTTTCACAATCAAGACCGAAAAAGGTTGCAACATGATCTGGTAGCCGCTTGTTGTACGTCGATTTCTGGGAGCTAATTTTTTCCTCTCTTTATCTTACTCGAATGACCTTGATTTCAACTGAGTTCCGTTGAGTTGCAGCGCAACAGTCGGTACGAAAGCTTCACAGGACATATCGGCTTTGATCAAACATCAGAAGAAAAAGAAGAAAAGGATTAAGCTGAATACTCCTGATAGGGAGTATTTGAGCAGAAATGTCAGCGCTGCGCGGTCCTTCAGAGTAAAATCCGTAAGTTTGTCGTCTTCTCAGAGTAATTTCTTCGAAGCGGAAATGTTTTTAGTTGTACTTCTTCAGAATTATGGTGCCGGCTTCGTTCAACCATTTCGTGATACGACTTTTCAAGATCGGCAGCAGGTACTATACTCTAGTCGCAAAACTCAATTTTTTTTTGTCGACCTGGTAATTAACTTTGAATATTTATTGTTTGAAGGGCTGGTTCCATATATCTATGGGTATTGGTGATCTGTGCTGAGTAGTGGAAGTATTAGATACGCATAGATAGATGTTTACGCATAGATGTTTCCCCAATGTGTTTGATAGTTTACTGCAGTGCTATTTAGCTCCTTATTCCACTTGATTTCCATCGCTACTCTTGTACCCAATAGAAATAAGTTCTCCATGGTTTCTGCCTGCATCTTTGTGATGATCTGTGATCAAACAAGGAAGCATAATGCAAAGTGACACGTGGATCATTTAAAATGTTGCTTTGGTCTCACGTCGCTGCAATTAATTTTTGGCAAAAATTAGCGCGCCAGCCCCTACGAATTACTTTGCACGTTATCCTTCCTTGAACACATCCTGTCATGTTTTCCAAAGGTATAGCTGGCCTTGGCGGCTTAATCTTTATGAATTACCCTCTTTTGCGAAATGTTCGTGATGAGGTCTTGGGCGGTGGCGTTATCTCTGACATCGCAGGAGTCGTTTGGTTCTTGCTGTGGTTGGCTGCCATGCTGTGCTCAGCGAACGGATCGTGCACTGCAGGTAGGAGTCCGAAGCTGCCACATATGTAGTCTCATTGCGCTTGTACCCGTTGGCGCCTTCGCCTTTGCATTGTGTATTTATTAATGCCAAAGAGGAAGTGACAGCCTTTGAAGGCAGCTCCACGAAGTCATGTTCGACGCGTTGTCATCCCCAATTTTGAGTAAGCAGTTATTCTGTGAATAGGTCTTTGCTTTTTGATTTTTCATTCATCCTGAATTGACTGAATGAATTGTGCTGGCGACGAAAGCAAAGGTGGAGCTTAATGATAAGGGCGGTGATAGTTAACTGAAGGCGGAATGGAACATGTGCGCAGTCTATGCGGCAGCATTGAGTCTTTTCAACGTACACATCGGCGCGATTTCATTCCCCACAGTTCACTATCATTCCTGGTTGAGAGATTCTTTACTAGGTTTTACCGGATTCTTTGCCGATAATGGGTGGCAGTAAGCAACGGTTGAGTTATGCTTGTTCCGACAGTGGTTTCAGTGTTTCAATTTTTTATTTGAGCGACTTTTACACCGTCTCATGTACTTGTGGACTTTCGCTGAAATTATCTACACGGTATAGTCATTCCACTAACAATTACTGCGTATTATTTGAGCTGGCGCGCCCCACCCATGGTCCACCGGAGGGCTTCAAGCTTCCTAATTACGGTAACAAGGGCAGTTTTTCATCCACACAGACAGGACATCCTAGTGACTGGAAGTCATCTACCGACGGTAACGACAAGGTACCTTTGTCCGTTCTTTTTTTCTCATTTTCAGGAGAATTGCTATATCTGAGAACTATCTAAGAGCTTTTTTTTTTTGGATTTCGGAATTCATAAATAGTTTTGAATAGGCCCATGTTCATTCAAAAAGCCACTTAGTTTTGGGAGCAAAGTGCTGATGTGTATCCCAAACTGGGTTGATCAACAAAAAGGACTGCCATTTTCATCCCTCATGCTAATATTTTGAAGAAATTATAGCACACCGGCACCATCGGTAGCTACAGTTTTCTCAAAAATCGTATTTCTACATCGGCCTGCTCGAAATACACATCATCGCCATCAGGTCCTACCGCATTCATAAAAAAAGAGGTAATTAGAAATTATCTTTAAGGGGCCTGCGATCGAGAGCTATTGTTCTTTTTTTAGAAGACGAATGACGAGCTCCACAACAAAGACGAATTGGTTCGGTCTCCCGTGAGTGTTTTGGTTCTCCCTTCGGTGAACATGAGTTTCAAATTGTTTTCTTGGTATCACACTTATCTAAATGTAGGGAGAAGCCGCTGCAGTAAAGGGTTTGAGAGTTTAATGAGGATATCTAAACTTATTAGAATTTTCTTAGCTATTAAAATTTCATAGGCTTGTTGGTTATTCTCTCCCCGCGAGATTGATGGTCGTTACATGGTCATTATTGACAATGCCACTTCGTCAATTTAAACATTGCTGAATTGATGATGACCATGATCCACGCCTTCTTTCTTCAAACAAGAAGTCTAGATTTGCTCTGCTCCAAGGAAAATGAAAGGCCAAAATTATGGAGTGACTCAGTTTTCATGCAAACGGATCATGGATTTGGAAATAGGACTTCGGAAGGTGTATGAAGTGGGAAAGATATTCGAAGTAGAGCAGTTCGCAAATGGCACCGAAATTGGGATAGATGGGCACTCTGGCTTTTCTTAAACGAGCCTCGATTAAGAAACGTTCTGTATCTTTTTGAAGACATTTTTTGCAAAGACATTTTTTGCAATACGGATTTGTTCTAATGAGAATTAGTGCCAGTGCCTGCAGTCTATAGTCTGTGACGGGTCTCGTTAGTTTGATGTAGTCCAGAAAGAAACGTTTCAGTACATCCTAATGATCAGGCAGTTGCGTATGTATGCTGACGATTTTCAAATTGAGTTTTCTGAATTTGCTACCACTTTTTTATTGGTAGTTCTAGTCTGTAATTATGATACAAAACATATTTCCATCTACAGGCAGCTGGTGTAAAACGTTTCCTGCAAGCCCTTCGCGCTTGTGGAGGAACCGCTACATCTGAGCAGCTGAGGAATGCGTACAGAAAACTCCACAATGCCGACTGGGATGTAGATGAATGTGTCAAGTATTTCGGCATAAGCTCAACACGCGGCGTAATCGACAACTATCTGAAGGATTTGGTCTGTCAGCATCACACACTAGCAGAGGGTGTTAAAATAATTCAAAACAACACTGCTTTCAGGGTAACCTTGTAGTACTCCATTATAATGTTTTTTCACTGCCTTCAGGTTGAAATTACTTCTGTCAAAGGAACTGGACGGCGTTGTTACGTTTTGTTGGAAACTCAACATGAACTTGGGTGCGCTACTCAACGAAATCGTAACTCGGAGGAAACGATTTCTAAAGCAAAACTCTGTGAAGCTCTCGTCAACATACTTGTTGACAAACATCCAGCAATACTGCATGTGAGTATGAGACAGTCACAGATTTGCTTCATCTTATAAGAAACGCATGACATAATCTCTTCTTGCATGATCAATGTTATCGTTGGTAGTTTTTAACACATTTCTTCTTTTCAATGTTGCTGGTATGCCTGTCACTGTTTCACTCAAGAATTGTCACAGTAGAGTAGGCCGTGGATACTCATTGGACTTTAAAAATCTTACTGAGGTTCAGCTCGATAGGTTGACACATGTGATGTGAAATTTACTATGAAAGTCGTTGAAATGAGGGAGGAAGAAAAGCCAAACTTTCACAAAATTCTCACCACAAATCAAAATTACTTCATTCGTAGAAGTGTTCCTTTCGTGCAACTTTGAATTTACACATTACCGGTGATACTGGATTTTCGATTCTGCAGTATGTTCGCCTTTGCTCAAAAATTCATCTTTTATTGTTGCGCTAGAATCAGTTGTTTGACCTGAATTTGTAAGGCGGAATAGTTTTATTTTCATGCTATGTTTTTTAGGAAAGAGTAAATGAGTCTGGACTCCTTCTCTGGCTATTATTTGGTTAGGGCAGAGTAGTTAACCTCTATTTTCAGGTAGACGGTCTTACCAAAGTGTTTCTGGACGAATATGGAGTTGCTGTAGAACCAGAAAGCTCCCTTCAACTCTCATGGACTAGATTTATCTCCAAATTTTGTTCAGAAGAAGTAGTTGTAGACACTCGCGGGGTATTGCTCTTACGGTTTTGAGCGGAATTTCTCTCATTCTTGAAAGTGGCATTGCTTTCGTTTCAGAATGTAAGCTTGAACATGAAAAACCCGATAGTGAAAGACAAAGTTATGAAGAAGTCTATCAACGACGCCCTCGAGGCCCCCATCGACAGTGGTTGGTGTCCTTTTAAATCTTTTCAATAAAATTCTCCGCTAAATGCTGTGTAACTCAGCATTAGTCGCTTTTTCTGTTTCATCTTTCCCCCAAGAGACGTGTGTTTCTGAAGTTTATGGATAGATTCGCTGATCAAAGATTTTTGATTGCATTAAAATCTAATGTTGGCTCTCCTTGCATGAACTTTCCAGTAGGCTGTCTGCAAGGTCATTGTGGTATTATTGGTACAGAGAGTTTGACTTGCAGATGCCAGGTTTGGGCAGTCATAGTGACCGATTCTTAACGTCGCTTAAGGACGTATCTAGTGAACAGTTTTGCGGTAGCAAACTCAAAATAGTGATGTTTTTTGACCCCTCCCCCTCCCC